TTTTTCTCCCTCTTAATGAGGAAAGTACCATAACAAGAAAAAAAAAAGGGTAGCTGCAAATACATTGACAGCCAAGTACAAGTTGTTTTGTTGGGATTTTTTTTGCTGATACAGATCATTAACATATCAAGGACAGGAAGGCTTCCTTGTACTTGACACTAGTGGAAAGTCAGAACACAGTTGGCCACTCTATTGTTCACTGATAGATTATGGACTAAAGTCACACTTACAGAACTAAAGATAAAAGAAAGATGGAATGGGGAGTGGATGGCAAGAGGAGATGAAAAATGTGCACCCAGCAAAAAGAAAAAGCAATGAGCTGTGGCACTTTCCAAAAACACATCAATAGCTGACGTATTTCTCTACAGGTTTTGCAAATGTGCTCCAAGGCACCAAACCTGCCCCGATATAGGAAACCATGCCCTTTGTCACCCTAGCTAAAAAAACACAAGCTAATACTTTCAAGGAATGAACAAAGTCACATCGTTCTAGTCACAAACTGTGCTGGAACAGCTTTCTAATTATTTGTAGGACGGAACAAGAAGTAACAAAAATATACTACTACTCTGTATTTGGCACATCATAAGCTTAGAATCTAAGCTAGGAGATTAAAGAGCATGAGAACATTCACTTAACAGAAGTCTTGTAAAAAGAATAATTAAAAAAAGCAGTTCTAAATCTCAAGAGAAACAAATGCTTATTCACACTCACCCTTAGGAAGGAGTCAAAGTGTCTTGGGTCACCACAAAGCTGGGACAGGTAGTAAACAAAGCAGTAGCCTTTCTCATAGGTGAAGAGGTTCATTAAATTACTAGGATTTACACCTGAAAGGAGAAGACAACAATGTTATAAGACACACTAATGAGAACACAAATTTCCAACCTTTACAAGCATACAGACCCTTAGAGATCACCTAGTTGTGATGTAGTGACTTAAAACCAAAGCAAGCCTGTTGTCAGTACATTAAATTGACTGCAGTAAATTAAATGGAAGCAGTCCAAACACACAGGCTGGAAAAAAAATCAGTCACTGTAAACTAAATATTAAGTCCCAACAGAAACAGAACAAATGAGAAGTCACTGAAAACACACCTGGAATTTGAAGACAAATCTTTTTTTTTTCTTCAGTGCCAAACGCAGGGAATCACTATACCACAAATTTTTAAAGACACAGATATAAGGTAATCACTACTTGTTTCTTTTTTCATACTTTGAACACATGCTTTTCCATTCCATTTGGTTCCAATATCATCTCTGCTTGCCTTTTAGGTTGTTTTATATGTTACCTAGATGGAATACTGCTTCACACCTCCAGTGGTGACCATAAAACTGGGGAACTAGTAATAAAGACGCACGCGGTGCTGGAGTGCAGACGTGCATCTGGCACAGCACAGGGGATAACCAGCCTGCCTCTGCTCGCTCACGTTTATCTGTATGCTTATGCATACATACATAGTTCTTACATGAACACATAAAAAGAGGAACATGTTATAGAAGGATTTTGTGTGATGTTTTCAAATATTTTCATTATAGACTGCTTCATTTTACATATTCAGAAGTGCAAAACCACACAGCTTTCAAGGCAGTTTTTCCACGCTGTGTTTTCTACTCGGTGAGTCTGTTCTGTTCTTAAACAGAACAATATTTATAAAGATCAGTTAGACGACTTGGAAGAAAACTTCAAGGCAAGTTTCCTTATTTACTTTTAGACTGGCTTAGAAATCAGTATTTCTTTTTTCTTTCTCTTATACAGAATATGTAAAAATTACTCTTTTTTGGTCTATATTTCAGTATCGATATACAGAAATTTTGTGCACAGCTTCAGCCAAAAGCAATACCTGGCTCCAGTTTAACCTGAAGCTTGCTGACTGGGTTGTCTTCTCCAAGGAGCTTCATCTGTCTGTGCAGAGCATCGAGGCGGAACGCAGTCTCCAAACACGTGAAGGCAGCTCCTACCCCAGAAAGGAACTTACTGGTTGTGGAAAAATGACTAGCAAAACCTGACATATGCAGAACTAACACAGGTATAAAATCAAAACTACTGAAGGTGGAAAAGATGCAACAATAGCAAGTTAATCACAGTAAGGTAATGACGGAGAAACTCCAGTGCAAAAAATCCTTGCAATTTGTAATGGAAGTCAGAACCTAATACAGTGCATTTTCTCACTCTGTTGATGCAGCAGGCTGAACTGAAAAACAAAGACGCATGCAAACTACACCAGAACTTACATCCTTGACATCAACTTATCAGGTCTTGCAAGATGAGCAGAGCATCACTGGAATAAGTATTGCACAGGTAACTTTCAAGGAGCAATCAAATGCTACACAAAAGTAATGTCACCGGTAGAATAGTAGACACACGATTCCACATTCAGTGCCAAGGATATTACTAAGTGAATGTCACCTCTTGGGTAAAAACAGAAAACTATTAGATTTAGTTGGTATATTACAGATCCTGTGAATCTGTTTTAAGCTTTACCTAGCATCCTACCCATACTGTATCACACCATTTTCACCTGCCACTCATTAGGACTTCTTTTACAGCTGCAACTGGGTAGGCTCCTCTTTCTCTTCTACCTAATGCAGCGTACAACATTCCATGCTTTCAAGACAAATTAGCTGTATTGCACTGGCAAGTTGAGAGATCTTTCCCTTGCAGATGTAAAAAGCAGTGGAAAATGGATGTTCAGATTCAGAAGATGCTTAACATCCAGCACTATTAACACTTCTGCTTTCTTTGCTAAGTCTTCAATGATATGGCTTGCTGGATAGATACAATCTCACGGTCTCAAAGTGCATATGCAGGAATCTGATATAAGCAAAATGAGAATTAAGAACCAGGATATTTTTGGAAGACAGAAGAACCTGTACTGGCAGAGAAAGGGGCAGATGTGCTTCACAGGGGAAAGGAAGAATCAGGACAGCCAGTGTTAAGGGCAGTTAGTTCAAGCTACAGGGAGGAGGATTAAGCAAGATCCAAGAGGTGTGGTGGTCACTGGACTCCAATTCCTGTAAACAATGTCGTTATAAAGATGCCTTTTTATTAAGGGCAGAAGATGCTCCAGAAATTACATCAGAAACAGCAAGATTTAGATTGGAGGTTTGTTCTAGAAACAAATTAGAATGCAAAAAGAGCTTATGAAAGAATGGCAAAGGGAAAGGCATTTCCTAATTCCCTCAACAATTACTTCTTCAAACAGCTAGTTCTAAATCGCAAGAGAATAGACCAAAATCAGCAAGGATCTTGTCCCACGTCAGAGGGACAGATTAGGATACCATAGAGAACAGGTCATATCTTTGCTGTGTATCATATAACGTGACTTGTAAGGTCTCAGTCCTGACCACAGAGAATTACTCAGCATAAAACAGCTTTCAAAGATATATAGTATACACTGTAACATCTCCATATATGCTCAGACCACTTCTTTC